TACATCCATCGCAGATTTCTTCTGCTTTCATTTTTCACACTACTGTACAACATCCAAGCCAGCACGGCGCCAGCAATCTGAAAAAAGCAACGGAAAGACTCAGACTTTTTAAGTAAAAAAAAAAAATCTAAACACAATCCACGCCGCTGCCACTCACCTCGCCAATAATCAAAATCCAACTGACCACACTGAACATGAGCATCTTGCCCGACAGGTACTCCTCGAACTTCGCCTGACAGCCCTCGTTGTAGATGTTATCGACGATTTGACAGTTGCGGTCCTTGCAACACGTGCGCGGTATGTCGTGCTGTATGCGATGATAGTCGTCGGTGTTGTTGACCCCGCAGCAGTGTAACTAATAAACGTACAACAACAACAATAAAAACACAAAATATAAATTAATGTTGATTGATGCGAAAAGGTGCGGTAAGTGTAATAAACTTGATGACACTTYCATTTTTGTTGTCCTATGTGTGTGTGTACATACCCAATTCTCGTAGTAGGCCAATGCGCCCGGCTCTTTTAGCTCGTATTCCCACAGCTCCTCGAAGCCGTCGTGTACGCTGCCCGCCAGCCCATCCTTGGTGCCTTGTGAGGCCATCGCAGCCAAAATGAGTTGTAAAAGTATCAACACTATCAAGCTGACTATGTACTACATAAAATAATTATTTTATTTATATTTYTCTACAAATACAYTAGCATGAATTGCATTTTGTGCATTTATTGTACTTACAACAATCAATTTTTTKCGTGACTCGTGTATGGCCGCCAAACAACCGAATATCGAAATCACCACAATTATAATGCCCAGCGTAATTATGAGCCCACCGGCTAAATTCTCACCATGATCGATGTTGTTGTTGGCAGCGCTGACCAATACAAAAATCCCAAATGCGATTACAACAATGCCGAGCAGCTGAAAAATAATTGCCATTATTATACAATATGCTTAACAAAAATACATAAAACTACGAGTATGCAAATAATGAGTTGAATACAGGGTGTGACAAGATGTGACTCAAAAATATAGACATATGTATATCAACTAAAAAAAACCTTTTGTATAAAGTATATTAGATCTAGGAAAACTAAAGCCATTTTTCGAACAGATGGTCTTGGTAATCTGCATCTCACGTGATACAAGTGTGTTAGAGTTACGCTTTATKGCGTTCAAAATATAAGATTTTATACTGGTAGTACTTATAAGACTTTTCATTGATTTCTCGACTCAGTAYTTTTTGCACACGCGTCAAAGAAGGAAATG